TTACACGGCGCTCGTTCCCTCCTGTCCGGTAGGCTGAGCCGGTGCCGCCTCCCGGGTGGGGGGTTGAGTGGGTGGAGTGGCCAGAATAGGCTAGGATACAGACACATCTAGCAAGTTAGTAACGCTGTACCCATACCGGAACACTCAGCATGTAAACTTTGTGATAAACCTTTAAAGCATACACTTGAACACTATATTATTGAATATGACACTGTCAAAGACTTCAGGCCACCTGACTTATTGTATAATGAACTTATTATTTATTACATTGAATCAGGGGTGTTTGAGGACACGCTTGCTGTTTATCCAAAATTTGCTAGCTTTCACTGATTAGTCCTCAATTAGAATATGACTCCTAATGTATATGAACCACTGACCTGCGTGGCAGTGAGCAGTGTTATCACCTACGTGACTCTGGCCTATATATACTGTTAATGAATATGATGTATTTCCTTGTGTATGAACCTTTGTCCTGCTTGGCAGCGAACAGTGATATCACCCACATGACTCTGACCTATGTATACTGTTAATGAATATGATCTATTTCTTTGTATATGAACCTCTATCCTGCATGGCAGTGAGAAGTGATAACACCCTCAGTGTCAAGACCTGACTGAATTACTCAGAATAGGCAAACTGTATTCCAAGCTTTGTCAATAAATTTTTAAGTTGCCTCGAACTGATTCTTCCTTGCGCTTGTCTGAGTCCACGTGTGTTTGTTAAATAATCGTCTTACTTAAAACCAACCTCTCAGCTTCCCATTCCTCTCTACCACTTGGAAAACGCTTAAATTCTGTCTTTAGTACTGCAGTAAATTTACACTTTCGATTTGGCAGTGTGCACTGTTGAAGAAACGCTACTATGCTCAGTATGGACTCATATAAGACACTGATGATTGAAATTAGAGCCGTGTCTGAACCAGGGTAAGACGTTTTACTGCATTCCTAATTTTCATATCGTGGCCAATTTCGCATCGAAAATCTATGGAGGTAAATGATAAGAGCAAAATCCCGGACATTATAAGATATTTAAAAATTCCTCCTGGATGGAGATTTAAGGACCAAAAAGGACTGTGCGCGAAAATACGGACGCATGGTAGCCCTACTCAGTGTTTCCAGTAGGGATACGAAAGTATCATTTGGATACATTTTGACCAAGTGGATATTTTCTTACGACCCTGACCAAAATGTTACGAGATTAGCAAATTTTTAAATTTGGAATACTTTTTCCCTTTTTTATACCATTGTAGTACGTTTTGAAACTTTTCCCAATTCCAATCGGTGTTCAGCCACAAAGCACAATATAGTCAGACAGTTACAATGGTCAGTGCGAGACAATTTTAGTCTTTACAATGCATTTACAGAAGGGTTATTTTTATGTCATTTCATACGCACGTGATTTTTAGAAGCGCAACTCTCCTCGAGTTGTGTCCGAAAACGAACACTATCCGTTACATATCCAGGTATCCGTGAAATCTATTAAAAAGTTGCTTAGATGCCATAGATAGGCAGAGACAAATATAATATTGATATTTGAAGAGACGATTAGGAACAGAAGCTTTGCAGGATGTCGAAACCTTATCGATCGGTTTTGCTAGTGCTGTTTCAGTCTACTCTTGAGTCTGTAGGGTTTCGTGATATTATGTTGTCTAGCACTCAGGATGGATGGATGGAAACTCTATGTGGTGGTTTTCTTATATAATATAAATTATATGAAAGACAGTCTGGTGCTGGAGATGCCGTGTGGTGAGGAGCTGCTCAGTAGACACGTTCGGTGAGTAGCATGCTGAAGGAGGTAGATGTGCAGGAGCTTTGTTAGAGGAGATGTTGCCTGCTGCTGGCCTCCAGGTTGAATGAGAGCTGGACAGCGAGGAGCTTGCTTGGAGGAGGTGTTGCGTGTTCAGGAACGTAGAGTAGAATCAGAGAGCTGGTTGGTGAGGACGCTCAGAGAAGGACAGCTGGTGGGTCGCCATGCTCGCCGGCGGGAGCGAGGACCGCCAGGCAGGCGGAGGAGAAGCAAGGGCCGCCAGGCAGCGGCGGAGGAGGAGGTGTTGCGTGTTCAGGAACCGAGGCCAGAATGAATCTCAGTGGAGAGACAGAGCTTATATACATAGCAGCCGGAAGTAAATCCGTGGGAACTCGCCGGTTTCTTGACTCCGTTGCTAGGGAAGACGTAGCAGGTGGCTGGTTGCTAGGATACTGTGGCTTCTGGTGACCCCCCGGGCCGCTCGTTTGGTTGCTAGGATACTGTCTCATTGGAATGCGGATACGCAGTTGTAGGGGAGACGTCCACTACAAGTCTCTTGACATGAAAAGTTCTTGTACAATCTCTGCAGAGAGCAGCAGACGCGTCACATGACTCAACGTCACTCACGCATATCATACAGATACAGTCTCATAAGAGGACTGCCGCCTATATGTTGAAAATCTTCCAATTTCTTTGCGTTTATTTGTGATAAACTAGTTGAACAGTGAAGTGTGTATCGGTTCCAACTGATGAGCAGTAGGTTCTGTTTATTTTTACGTCGGAAATGTCTTTACTACGGTGGTTCAAAAAAGGTATGTACAGGGTATATTGTAATATACTTCATGATAATTAAGTGGGTGCTTTGGATGACGATAGGTAACTTAAACAGTGAAAGATTACAATGCTGATCGTTGTTAATTGATTGTGATAATGATAGTCAATAATAATGACTATACAGTACTTAACACATAATGCGATGATAATGACAATGTGGTAAATTTTTACCCTTACACCCTTGTCGCTCTTAGTAATAACTATACGTTTTTTACATAATTCATGCAATTCTAAGACAATTTTCTTCTATAGCATTTCCGTCGCATGCTCTGACTGGCAACCAAGTAATGTAATGAGACGATCAGCCCAAGATGCATTCAGAGATAAAGCAAGCATCCAGTAGATCTCAAAATTATGACCATTTGTTTAATTTCTCTGAAGGTTTAAAAGCACTTTGTTATTTTTAATGTAATGCATTTACAATTTAATGAAAATCGCTACCTTCAAACTGTTTTCACATATTTGCCATATTAATGTATCGTGTGCTTTCAGAGTGCACGTCTTTATAAAGTTAAAATCATTTTCTCGAACATCCAAAATTATCTGACAAGAATTTGCCAAATTTTTACTTCACCTACAGACAGTTCCACTGTCAAACAGATGATTTGTTGAAAGGTTATCGTACTGCATATAAGTGAACACGCTAGAAATAAGATAACAATATTTTATTTATTTATTTATTTATTTATTTTTTGTTTGTTTTTTATTTTTATTTTTTTTATTTTTTTTTACGGGGATTAGCCCACCCGGACACAGGTCACTAACCCACATCGGGGCCTGGGGGGCGAAAATGTAATAATAATAATAATAATAATAATAATAATAATAATAATAATAATAATAATAATAATAATAATAATAATAATAATAATAATAAAGAAACATAAAGAAATACAAAAATGAAAAACAAATCAAAAGTGAGAAACAATATATGTATGTTGTGTTGTCAATAGTAAGAGAAACAATTGAGACCCTGCAATTGTGTGTAAATGAGGCAGAAAGTCAGATCAGCAACCTGGGACTTGGTCACAATTTTCGTGATGCCATGTGGCAGCAGGGTCTACCATTAGACAACACATAATTACATTTGTTTATGCTGCCGATACCTTATTGAACTATATATATATATATATATATATATATATATATATACACTTTTGGGATACTTTTTTTATTATCATTGTATCATTTGGGATACATTTTATTTTTTTTCCCACTGGGAATACTGGGCCTACTTGCTGTCTGTTGCAGTGTTACAGCCTGCCAGACCCTACACGAATTTCAACATTTCTTTACCACTTGCCACTAACAGGATTTATAGTTTTACAAAGTTAATGCCAGAGGTCTGGTTGAAAGGGTTTGTTATTCATGCAAATTCTCAAAATATTTTTGTATACATTGAATAGTGTTTATGGTAAATGTGAAATAAATGTACAGTACATCATGTTTGTCAACTTTAGTCAGCCTTACCAATATAAAACTGCTTCCTACAGGCTTGGTCAGTAAGGTTGCATTTACTAACGTTGAATCTCAGCAGCCATTCCTTTGACCACTCCCTTCGAGTCATAATTTACCTGAATAGCTTAGCGTCGTCTGTAAACATTTGTAAGGGAGAATAAATATCATCAATTATAGTAGAATTTGTGGTGACCATAACACCGAAACACATAAAGGTTGAATTACAATTTATATATCATACGCCAATTTTCCTCTTATTGGATTTTAACAAAAACTTAGGTCGTCTTATTTTCATCACAGTTGTAGTGGACGTCTCCCGTACAACTACGCATCACATTCCAACGTGCCGTTGCCTAGCAACCAAGCGAGAGCTGTCCCCAGATGGTACGGTTGCTTAGCAACGAAACTAGTCACCGGCAACTTTCTGGGTTTTCCCAACATGATTCATAGAGGACTGGCGGCTGCTGCTGGGTATATAAGCTCTGTCTCTCCATTGAGATTCATTCTGCCCATCTTCCTGAACAAGCAACATCTCCTCCAGCAAGCTCCACGCTGTTAACATTCATTCAATCAGGAGGCCAGCAACAGGCAACATCTTCTCTAACGAAGCTCCTGCACATCTACCTCCTTCAACACGCTACTCACCGAACGTCTTCTACTGAGCTGCTCCCCACCACACGGCATCTCCAGCACCAGACTGTCTATCATATAACTTATATATTATACAAGAAAACCACATTAGAGTTTCCATCCATCCTGAGTGCTAGACAACATTAATCTCTCGATACCCCTACAATGGGGTCACTCCGGGGTCACCATTGTAGGGGTAACATGGAAACTGATAGAAAAAACGTCAACGTTTTCCAAATTAAGGATGCTTAAAAAAATTAGTTAACTGGTTCTACTGCTGGATTGAGATGGCTGTTACGTTAGTTGTATCAGAAAATACTAAAATCATAATAGATTAAATGTATGATTTATTTGCAATTTCTATTCGTTACACTGTACATAAATAACCACAACATCTTGCAGTATCTGAGTAGATATAGGAATAAACATTTATGCATATGTACAAACACAAATTAAGTAGGCTGTTATAGCAATAATAATAATAATAATAATAATAATAATAATAATAATAATAATAATCGAATCCAAAATAGTTTACACTGGGAAGACTTGCATCTTTCTTGCTTTTTATTTGTTAATATCTTTATTAAACAATATGTACTATCAATATAACAGATACACACACACACGGTCAACACTATGGAGCGGCGATCGTCACATAACCTGAATTATTTATATATTAGAGCTTTTTCTATTGTATAGCAACCACAGTAAGAGAAGCTAAGACAAAAACAATAAATGATAAGTATGATAGCAGTAACATAAATGAAAGACAACTGACGTTTTATAGTTTGAAAAATCAATATAATCACAATAACAACATTACAGCTAATCAAAATATTTCGTGCGATGAATGATATTAGTAACATAAAACTGTATGATTACACATGTCTGATTTAACTAACGCACAAAAAATACTGAAAAAAAATAGAATTCAGATTATACTGAGAGACACTACTTAAAGCCTCATACAGAGAGTAGGATCTCCCAATAGACTTCAATACGATAAAAGAATACGATCCTCTCCGAATATATTCCAGTAGCACTTTATTATACAGTACTCTATTATATGGTTTCCGTCTTCAAGTTATGAACCATGCAAGTTGTGTAATTTGCAGGGTTTTTTTACTAAACTGCCTCACTATACTGTACTGTAGTTATATACTGTAGCTGTTTTAAGGGTTTATGAAAATGCTCAGAATTTGGGCAAACTTCGATGTAACATTACGGCTCCTAGGATCACTCTCTAAACATCACTTGTGTAACAACTCACTATGTACAATGCACTGATTTTATCTAATCAGTAAATATAAATACAGTATGATAATATTACCATTATATTATACAATAACTTTCTTCGGCGAGAATCACTCCTACAAAAAACCAAGACGGCGAAAAGTGTGGAGTGTGTTGTTTACCATTAGTTCTTTGTAAAGTTTTAAGATGCGGTCGTCGAGGACAGTGTGAGCCTTGAAGTAAGGACACGACGATTTCATCAGCTCACCCACACAATCTTTGCGGTAGTGTTGGAGGTGGGCGTCTGCCTCCGGTATAGACAGATGGTAGCAGTTATTAAGACAGGAGAAAGGGAAGTGGTTGTGGAGTGTGAGAACCCGCTCGGTGTTGTGGAAACACTTGATGTAGGAGCCGGGCCTGGTGTAGTTAGCGGCGCGGTAGACGTGTTGCATCATGTGGAGGTAAGGTGGCACGCCTGGCACTTTGCCATGAGCGTCCTGCATGGAGTCCAGGAAATACACGTTACGAGCACAGTAAGACGACCTGGGCTGCCCCTCCGTGACCGCCAGCAGCTGTTCAATGAGCGACTTCCAGTTTGGAGTTTTCCTGGGCATGATAAACTCATCCGTGTCAAGTAACACTACATATTTATAACGGTATATGTTCCTGTACAAGCAGTCGTTGTACGGAATTACTTCATTCTGGCGTTTATGTACCATTTTAGCCTTTAGATACATGTGTAATAAGCCTCGTGCGTTTGGTTGTTCACCCGGTAGTGTTAATTTAGTAATATCAACCCGCCCGAGGGACTCGTAATACTTTAACACTTTAGAAACATTTGGGTGTATTCCCATCTCATAGAGAAACACCTTGTTAGCCCCGAGAAGATGGAGCAGCTCCAACCACTCCACCATCATGATGCTGTTATCGACATAAGAGAAGTCCAACCCTTTGACGCACACCGCAAAGTCCTCCTTCTGACCTCCTGTTGGCTCATTCTTGATAACCCGCAGGTTGTTGAAGGGCTTGTCACAGGGTAACTCTACCAACGACACTGACTCTGGCACCCGCTTGACGTGTGTAGGCGGCACCACGCACTGGATCAGGTACGGCTGCAGTACACCTTGCCTGTAATTACCCCAACCTCTAATCCATATGTATTTATATTCCTTAACCTTGGAAATAATGGGACCCTTCTCACCATCAAACCAAAGCTGGCAGTTGGTCTCCACAGTAGGTCTGATGCGATTGGCCATGCCAAGAATGCGAATGGAAGGAGCATCTTTGGACAAAGTGCGGTTGTCGTAAAAGGAGTTGTATAGATAGAAGGTACCATTGCTGGTATGAAGAGCCTGCCAGTATATGTTACTAAACTGGATGTCGAAGAGCGAGGGATACCTAGCACACTTGACGTGACCAGGACTGACGTGTGGGTTTAACTTTTTGCGGTAACTGAGGGGCAGGTTAGGCAGTGCGGCCAGAATCTTATCCTTGTCTTCTGTCACTGAGCTATCGATGGCTGGGTTCGCGTACACCTCCCTGCAGTGTGAAGCCAAATGTGAGAAATTACTTAAATTGTAATACAGTATGGCGATTATTATATCTGAAGATCTGTATCATTATGACTAATGATCAAATGTATAAAACAATGACACACGTTACAATCTTAATGGCTCAGCACCTGATGCTTTCCTGGTCGGTGTAATGGTCGTACTCAGTCTTGAGAGAGGTGAGGTAGAGGAACTTCTCATTAGCCGCCTCCGTCGCTTGGTCCCAAACGTAAATACTGTACCAATAAAACACAACAGGAAACAAACTGTCTTAGGGGGATAAATGTTCCACTTAATTTCCAAACAATTTAAAAATGTCTCAGTTTTAAAGCAAGAATGTCAGAGATTTCCTTATTTCATCGTAAGATTAACCACCTAAAGCTAACTTAACCTAATCCGCCCAGGTATAGCGTTAAGGTGTTTGGGGTGTCTATTCTTCACATAAGCCGACTGCGTATTATAGTGGAAACGAGCCTAATAAAAATGTAGTTTATTACATTGTTTGTGAAGGTAAGGGAGATGATGCGTATTTTATTTTAAGATGTCTTCACATGCACAGAAACTTGAGAATTAACTGTCAGGGTGGCTATAGTAATGTTTCTCTTTATTCCCAGATTATGAACTGGGAAATGTGCGTCATCTGTCAAAGGAACACTGGGGAGAGGCTGAACTGTCCGCTATCAAGTAAACATTATTGATCGAGCTCGGAGATTCAAGGATTTGGATAACCTACCAGATGAATTCCATGTTGACAGTGTTGAGCAACGTTTATGGAAGGAGGAGAGGGCTTATGGCACGCATTATGTATAAAGATGCTTTCTTCCGACAGGCTTCAGAGAGCGGAACAGTTAGTAACAGTCAAAGAAGAGTGATAAGCGTACTTATGCAGCCGCTTATAGCCGAACCTGCCTTACTTGTTTTCTGTGGGGTATTTTTGCTCACAGTCTGCTATTTTAACGTCAGTGTAACCCCACGACTGAGAATTTTGGGGGGGGGGCGGGGTCAGATGTGGATATTATGAACCTGCAGTGTTGACGGGTAGGGAGGTTTACGCCTCAACAAATTTGTTGTCTAATGTAGAACTAAGATAAAGTGAACGGTGTTTATACAGTGTAGACCCTGGATGATGAACGTTTGAAAGAATAAAATACAAAAATATTAACGTAAGATATACCTGTATTGATATTTTCCTAGAATTTGTTTGGGAAGATTTTTTCTAACACGATAAAGTCACAGATGGTAATTACATACATCGTGCTGTATATTAATCTGATCTACAAATTATTGAAATTAAGTATTTTGCTTTAGTTTTACAACCAATTACTGCAATTCATATAATTTCTTCTACATTTGTCAGGTTTCCAACACGCCATTCTGACGTTTTTTGACAAGCTTAAAATTCAGCACTGGTTCGCCTCATTAACCTGCACGACACAGGTGTAACATATGATTCATCCTTAACACACCTTGACGTTACTCACAAGCTTAAATGTATGACGGCACGGGAAGGGGGGCACTCCTCTCTTCTTAATATTATACCAACAGTTACAAGTAACCTTCCCCCGCCTTCCCTGTGTCCCCTTCAAAAAGCAGATGTCATAAAGCCATCTCTCGAGTAAGTGAACTGCACTGTACGTTATTATCCTAAAATACTACTGTAGTGAAATGATCATGTCAAGTGAAAGAATGGTTAATTGCGAGTCAACATAGAGAGGGGCAGATGCGTCAACTCAGTCAATGTATGCTTGTATATATCCTCTCCGAATTCAATAGGAAACAGAGGAAGAGACGAAGAATGCAATACTAAAATGTAAATATATCTATATTGTAATCTTATGGAAGCAAAAATGTATATACAATCCTAGTGGAAACTAAGAAGTGAACATGACAAGACCTACCTGATGGGGATGCAGACGAAGGTGGCACACAGTAAGAGCAGCAGAAAACGTCGTAGCTTGTTGGGGAGGTGACGGAGAACGCGGCATTTTCGTTCCATGTCTGTTGCTTCACTGTCACTGTCCGCGCCTGTAACACCACACCAAACAATATTATATGTTTTTTTCTCGGATAATTTATGTCTCAATAATACTATGAATCATATACCAGCCAATTGACTACGATTAAGACACTATACTTCACACCGCGTATTCCACTACGATACATCAGTTTACTAAAATCAATGCAGTGAATTGTTACTTCTTTCATTTACTTTGACTTTAATCCTCTTCACCACTGATCGGCTCGTTAGCCGCTTGGGCGATCGGCCACGTCTCTGTTACGCACTGTTAGCAAGTACTGGGCATGCACTGCCTCCTGAATGTATCTGAACCTGCTCCAGTGATTATCAACTCTGGTCTTGAAAGAGCTCACACTCGGTGCCGTCACAACACTCTCCGGCAGGTTGTTCTGAGAGTTTACAACTCTCACTCAGAAAAAGTCAGTCAGTCTTGTGAGCCGAACGTCCACCAGCTCCAGGTAAGGGCACTCCACTGAGTAGTACCCTTTGAGATGCTTATACACCTCAATAAGTCTCCTCTTGCCCGTCTGTAGTATATGTTCGACAATATCACGCGGTCCAATCTCTCAGGGTAGCTGAGGTGCTGTAGTGCAGGCACCAGTCTGGTGGCCCTCCTTTGGACATTTTCAATCAACTGACAGTCCCTAGCATATCTCGGGGACCAGACGGTGTGACAGTACTCCAGACAGGGAAGCATTTTACTCATGAAGATCGTTACGAGGGCCGGACAGTCAAGATATCTGAACGACCTTCTTATAAAACCTAATTATTTAGTTGGCTGATTTACCTTCTTCTTGCAATGGACTGAGAACTTCAGTTCATTGTCAACATACACACCTAGGTCCTTTTCACATTCAGTCTCAATTAATGCAGTTTCTTCATCCCGTTGGGACATATGATACGCCTCCTTACCGTTGGTACGTCCCAGGTGCAGCCTCTTGCACTTCGCGACATTAATCTTAGCAGCCATTTCTTTGACCATTCATGAAGCTCACAGAGATCCTTCTGCAGCTCTTCACAGTCTGTTTGGTTCTTAATTTCCCGAAATAACTTGGCATCGTCAGTAAACATTTGTATGGAGGAGTGTATAGCTTCTGGCATGTCATTTATGAAACAAACAAACAACAGCGGGCCCAATACACTGCCCTATTAGGGTGTGTCATACGGAGGCGAATTTTTTTTTTTTGAGTTTGAAAAATCGGCCCATGGTATTAATGATGTAGTTCTATGTGCAGAATCATGTGATATCTTCAGATTTGAAAAGTTTTCATTTTTTGCTCGGTAAATTTTAACTTGAAATCTTATGAAAATTCAGTATTCCCACCCTTTTACCAACACCACTAAATAGCTTATTTAAAGTAAAGTAAATGTATCAGGTTAATTTATTAGGATGAAAATGATCCAGAATAGTGAAACGAATGATCTTGACACATTTATTAAATTTAATATTCCTTTAGAAAACAAAATCATCAAATACAAAAACCGGTTTTACTACTACGACCCGGTGTTGCTGCACACCATAGAGAACATGTCTTTCTTGCTTCTGTTTCTACTCATCACCTCCCTGCTGACCACCTGAGCTCGGATGTAGCCTTCCCTCCTCTCCTGGCTGTACACGTGACTGCTGGCCTCGCTCACTTGCTGTACACAACGCTCTATACTCTGGGTGTGCGAGGGCCAGGCAGGGACATGCATGGGGTTGTCCAGGAAAGCTCTGACTTGAACATTGGTGAGGCTGCAGGTAAGAGGGGGCTCACTGCCAGCCTGGATGTTATCCAGATCTATGAGATCAGTGAGGGTCTTGGCACCTAGATTGACTTCAGGAGTCTTCCTGACCCTGAAGGAATCGTCACCAACTGATTCGTCATGCCCAGATCCTCTCATAAGTCTCATATCCAAGATCTTTTTGACTGCCACTCTTCTCTCCTCCTCATCCTTACTGCAGAGCATTGTCTGCAGCATCAGGAAGATCTCCTCACAGTCTGCTCCTAATCTAGATAACCTTCATGGTTGACTCTCGGGAGCTCAAGCTGAAGAACGTCCTCGGACCTTGAGAACCAGTAACCTGACAGTGTTGAACCAATTTGTAAATATAGACACTCACGATGTAAGATTGGACAATAAGTCTCAGGTTGTGAAGCTGGTTTCCTTTCAGTTTATGATGAGCGACCCAAATTCTGCCAGAACCTGAGAGCCGTTGTGAGCCCTAGAATGTGAGACTGGACCTATCTGCAGGCAGCAAGTCTATCAGGCATGACCCCAGTTTTGATGGCACTGCAAATCATGTAACCATAGTACTGGTCAGTACACAGGTCGTCAATGACAGTATGTGCAAGCTCAACGAGTGGAGGGCCAACTGTGATTTTTTCAAAGCTCAGATTTATTTCTAACTCAGTGGCAGAGTCCAGCATCTTGCCAAGAGGACCAGACCATCTGTTGTTTGAAAGAGTCTTGCCATCCAGCTCCTGGATCAGATGTCTGAGTAGCAACTCGTTGGTGTGGAGGTCACAAACAATCCAGACCAGCTTCCTCCCAATCTTCCTCTCTATCCACTGTATGACCCCCCCCTTGCCACCCTGTGTTCGTGTTTGTGCTGTCCCCTCCAATGGCCTGCAGGGTCTGGTCTACGTTCCTCTCTCTGAGCCAGTTCACAATGTTATCTGCACTATCTCAGCTGGTTTCTGATGTCATCTTTCTCCTGGAGTGGAAATGCAAATACTTCCCTCCTGGTTCACTGCAGCAGGAGTGAGTGTTCCTCCTTCACATGGCGGGGAACAACTTGTCAGAATCCCCAACTTTCATGAACACTTTAGTGTCATCCCTTCTCCCATCAAAGAACAAACAATTGATTCCATTTTTCTCTTATCCCATATCCAATCTCCTCTTCTGGAAGGTTACTGACAAGTTCTCCTGAGCTCTCCTTGCTTTGTTATGATCTATCACCAGGTGAACATCATCAGGTGTTATCAAACCACCGTCAACCCAGGCAGCTGTTGTTATCTCTGCAGTTTCTCTGAGACCAGTGTGGTGTCGCATGCTGGCCAGAGCTATGCTCGGGATATCTTTCCTATTTCGAATCTTATGCCTGGAAGGTTTAGGATCATTATTTTCTCGGTTAGGGACAAAGTCACCATTCTCCTGGTCAGCACTGGGATCAGCCATGGGGAAGTCATTAAACTCTGAATCAGCTTGACTTCAATCATCGGCCTTTTTTACCTCACCCTGGGCCTTCTCAAGTCTCTTTTCCTCGGCAACTCTTCTCCTCTTCTGTCTCTGTGGCAGCCTCCTGTCTCTTGGCCTCCGGAATATCTTGGCTAGAAATCATGAGAGCCCCTATACTGCCAGTCTTCTCTCTCTGTGCTTTGACAAATGCCAGTTCGATCACAGGAATCTTCAGTTCACGCTTGCAAATACAGGAGATGTGGGCCTTGGATTTACAGTCACGATCGCATCCAAACTCAGGACAGAGAACAATTGGGCACTTGCAAGTAATTATGTCAAATAACTGGTCCAGTTGCTTGGCAAAGCTGTCCTTAACTGCAAGTTTTCCTCTCCCAAGAGAGATATCTCTTGCCTTTTCCCAACTGGCTAGCAGTCTCTCACTAATCTTCTTCTGACTTGTTATGACTGGAGGCTTGAACTGAGCGTTAGCCAGAGTGTACTGTGCCAAGACAGCTTTGGTCATATCACTGGCAATGTCTTTGTTTGTGTAAGTTCTTTGGTTCTTTTCACTGATTTGCCTGATTAAAACACCGTATCTCAAAGCATCTCTCAATGTAGGCAACTCCGACTTCAGGAGCTCTCTCCCAGACCCAAGATAGTGACTGAGATGGCTGGATTTTTGGTTCCTCGTCCTGACACAAGCAGCCATCGCAAATATTATCAACTTATAAATGCATCAGAATCTGAAACAGAAAAAATATTGTTAGTTGGGTTGTTAAAGAATGAAGTCAGAAAGCAATGTTCACTATTTAATTGTAATGCACTAATGCAGCTGTACGTTAGATTTTCGATAAATTTCACGCTAAAATTTATCTAGCAAAAGGTTGCAAAATATTGAAACTGAAATTATTTTCTGTTTATATACACTAAAATCTACCAAAAAAATGATGGGCCATTAGTTTTAGCTGATCTTCCCTCCTATGACACACCCTACAGTGCCCTATGCCGGGCCGGGACACATGTGAGAAGGGTGTTACCCAGTGTTAACTCTCACTACCAAACATCACAGGTTTCTTGTTTCCTCCAGTACCAACACTGGATAGACCAACCGCCCAAACGACCAGTAAGATGACTCAAACGGGGTTACACTGACTCATAATGAACTACACTGACTCATAATGAAACTACACTAACTCATAAACGACACTACGCTGACTCATTAACGACACTACACTGACTCATGGTTTAGGATAAATTTATTTGCTATTCATCATATTTCCTATCTGTGAATCTGATGACCATGACACGCACACATACACACATAATTATACGTGAACATACAGTATTTACTAGACACCTAATGTAACGAGGCTATTCAACGAAATACCTAATGTCGAATTAATATTTATATTCATGTTACTAAATCACGTTATCACTTTTATGCGATAGTTTAATGCCTTATTGCGACTTGTAACCAAAATATTTTTATTTTAGGTTAGGTTCAGTTAGGTTTGGTTTGGTTGGGTTGGGTTAGGTTCGGATGAGTTAGGTTGTTGGATTGGGTTAGTTAAGTTGGATTGGTTTAGGTTGGGTTAGGTTAGGTTCCTTAGTTAGGTTGGGTTAAGTCAGGTTTGGTTAGGTTGGTTTAGATTAGGTTAGTTAGGATAAAATGGGTTAGGTTAGGTTGAGTTTGGTTTGGTTAGGTTAGGTTAGGTTAGGTTGGTCTATTATTATCAGAACCAAATCCATAATCACAAGTTATCTCACCCAATCCCATATATGGACGATCGTGTCATGGATTCACTTTATCCCGCGGTCTCTTGGGTAAACACGACGGCGCACTGCGTAAAACAAAATTAACCTAACGCATTACACTACTTCTTTTATAGATTTATTATCGATTATAAATATCGATAAGAGATAAAGAGAAATGAACTAGAAAAAAATAATAATTGTATAAGTTTTGGATTTGATTCTTGTAAATTTATATAGAGTATCGCGGTACACTGATGAAAGTGTTCCTCCAACCACGACCGTTCATGATTCCACTAATTAAAAATAAATGTCCTTTCTTTCATCACAATAACAACAGTAGTACTTATGGTAGGCAGGCGAGAACGATGTATTATATATATATATATATACTAACTTAGCCAAGGTGTGAGGATTGTATATGATGGAAGGAGAGATGTTTACCTGCTGGCGCTCGGTTGTAAAGTGACTGTATACCACCTCGGGTTTCCAAACATGCCCCCCCCCCACCCAACTCCCCCACCCCACTCAACGCCACCCCACTCCTCCTACTCTCCCTCTCACCCCCTCTACACACACACACTTGTATCACCCTCTCACCCCCATCTCACCCCCCTCTACACACACACTTGTATCACCCTCTCATCTGTTCATTTTAATAATTCATTACAACTTCAAATATACTGTAGAGAAGGTTTTTTGCATTAATAACTAGGTGATGTGTGCACTGAGTTGACAAGTTAGTTTTAACTCTCCCGTTTATTCTTGGTGGCTTTAGTAGTTAAAAAAAACCACACACACAGAAAATTGTCCTATGCTTTAGATACAAGACAACTGTATGGGAGTGTATGTCTGAGTCTGCATCCACAACATACGCACTACGAAGCCAACACCTGCATTTTCTAAATCACTCTCCTCTCTCCCCACCCTACACACCACGGCAGGCTATACACCACGGCAGGCTACACACATCGGCAGGCAGGCTACACACCACAGCAGGATACACATTTCGGCAAGCTACACATCTCGGCAGGCTACACATCTCGGCAGGTTACACACCACGGCAGGATACACACCTCGGCAGGATTCACACATCGGAAGGCTACACATCTCGGCAGGCTACACACATCGGCAGGATATACACATCGGCAGGTTACACACATCGGCAGGTTACACACCTCGGCAGACTACACACTTCGGTAGGCTACACACCTCGGCAGACTACACACTTCGGTAGGCTACACACCTCGGCAGACTACACACTTCGGCAGGGTACTGAGTGAAAATACAGAAAGGGCTGCAGAGAGAAGGGGGGGAGGGGCAGTTGTCTGTGGGCAAATAGAGAAGGGGGTGGAGACGTGCTGACACACACACGCACACCTGAGCACACCTGAACATTTTCTGTGTTAACATATTTCAATATTTATTTAGCAAATTTACTACAGAAACTAGACTCGATATTCTCCTCGTTAGCAGATACTCCTCCTCCTCCTCGTCCTTCTTTTCCTCATCCTCCTTCTTTTCCTCCTCATTCTCCTCCCCTCCTTCTTTTCCTCCTCCTTCTAGTCCTTCTCTTCCTCCTCCTCCTCCTCCTCCTTCTTTTCCTCCTCTTTCTCCTCCTTCTTTTCCCTCTCTTTCTTTTTCTCCTTCTTTTCTTCCTCTTTCTCCTCCTCCTCATTCTTCCTCCTTCTCTTTCTCCCCCTCTTCCTCTTCCTTCTCCTCCTCCTTCTACTAGTAATCTTATAACTTCTTATTCTTTATTCTTCTTTGACAGGTTTTTACCATCAAAACAAAACTCGGTTACTATCACAAACTGAACTATTATGGGTTTTGTTATGGTGTTGCAGTACAGGAACCAAACCTAACCTAAGCTAACCTAACCTAACCTAACATAATAAACTGACCTTAAACCTTGAGAAAACCCACTACACGATCTTTCACAGAAGAAAAAACTTACCTCCAGACTTGAACCTCTTCTACCATGGTAATATAGTCTTCAAACGAGAACAAAATACTAAATTCCTCGGAGTTATTGTTGATGAGAAACTTGACTGGAGAAACCACATACAAGCGATTCACAGTAAAGTCAATAAACAGTGAGGTATCATGTATCATATTCGACAGTCACTCACTATCACAGCAATGAAAGAAATCTATAATGATCTTGTTTACCAACACCTGATACACTGTCACACACTATGGGGGGCCTCTGGCTCTTCAAAAACACAATCTCTGGCTACTGTACATACGAGAGTTGTACGGACAATGACCTACTTGGAAAAAAAAAACCAGATCACACAAACGAAAAATTTGCCAAATTGAAAATGTTAAAATTCGAAGATATTAACACCTACTGCTGTGCCCTCTTTGTTTACAGATCTATCAATCACTTGCTTGACAATAATTATTTCCAGTTCCGGAATAATCAGAGATACAACTTAAGGCACCCAGAGCTACTAAGACCACCCTCCATGCGCTCCTCTCAGTCCCAGACCTCCATAAAATATCATGGTGTGAAGGTGTGGAACAACTTCCCCCCACCCATCCGAGCAAAGACTACGCTCCCTTCCTTTAAATCATCTCTAAAAAAATATCTATTGTCTAAGTATTAATATTTCTTATAATACCTACCATATATACATTACCTGCTTTTATTGTACCATCAAAACCGTTTTATCGGAAATTATCATGTACTGTAAATAGATAAGAAATTACCATTGCAATAAATATATTTGCCAACTAGACATAATCCTGACAGCTCTGTCCTCTTGTTCAACCTTAATACTGTACAACCCATGTAGTACTGCTCCCCCATTATATTTATGTTTTTTTTAATTCCACTGTAATTTATGTATATACTTATAATATAAAATAAATATTAATGATAATAAATAAATAAAATAAATAAATATTGAAGTGATAACCGTGGTAACATTCTGAGATGTTCTTATTACCACCATGCTTATTGTACTATTCCAGATGATACTAAATGTTACATAATACTTCCTTGAGATAAATGTATAGTATATATCAGGTGCCTAAAAGAGAGCTCAGGTTCTCAACTGGCTCAGCCATGTTAATATTGTTATTATTATCCACTCTGTATCTGTGTTTTTCTGGCTAAATAAACTGTTACAATTCAGTTCAATTATCCTCTTGTACAACACATCCACGCTGGTAAACCTTGGTCCACGTGTGTGTGCGTGTGTGTGTGTGTGTGTGTAGTTATGTGGAAGTGTATATTCAGGAAAAGACAGACGCGCGCGCGCGCGCGCGTGTGTGTGTGTGTGTGTGTGTAATTATGTGGAAGTGTATATTCAGGAAAAGACAGACGCGTGTGTGTGTTTGTGTGTGTGTGTGTGGTTATGTGTAAGTGTATATTCAGGAACAGACAGACGTGTGTGTGTGATAATAATAATAATAATAATAATAATAATAATAATAATAATAATAATAATAAACGGTTTATTAATAGAGTTGCAGCAGGTGGCTGAAAATATACAAACTTACATGCGATTTAGACATAATAATATACGTTCAATACATTTACAGGGCTGTACAGTACATAAATAAGGAGCTGTTTATTATTGTAACAATAGATGGAAGTGTGTGTGTGTGTGTGTGTGTGTGTGTGTGTGTGTGTGTGTGTGTGTGTGTTGGTGCCTTGATAATCAATAAAAAACAGGTGTTGTTAGTAAAGGTTATTGATCTACAGAACAGTGGTCTCACGACACCTGTTACATACACAGCAACGAAGGCGCGACACTTGTTCACGGTGGACCCCAGCACCTGCCGCCACCACCACAACCACACCTGATGATACTACCTACCTGACCGAGGATACAGCCATGACCCGGGTTACAGGGAGTTATGACCGAGACTACAGTCACGACTCGGGTTACAGGAACTCGTGACCGAGGCTACAGTCATGACCCGGGTTACAGGGAGTTATGACCGAGACTACAGTCACGACTCGGGTTACAGGAACTCGTGACCGAGGCTACAGTCATGACCCGGGTTACAGGGACTCGTGACCGAGGCTACAGTCATGACCCGGGTTACAGGGACTCATGACCCGGGTTACAGGGAGTTATGACCGAGGCTACAGTCATGACCCGGGTTACAGGGAGTCATGACCGAGGCTACAGTCACGACCGAAGTTACAGGGACTCATGACCCTGGTTACAGTCATGACCCGGCTACAGTTATAAGCAAGGTCACACTGTAATAGCTAAATTAGTTAACTAGCGATAAGATAATCTGGACAAAATGAATGAGGCCGTTTCTAGACTCTAGACTCTAGAGTCTAGATACCTGAGGCAGTTATGAGGCCTAGGTAAACATCTCATTTGGTCTCATTCGTGTATCACCTGAGTCAACAAATCACCTTGTAATTATATGATTAGGTGTGAAATATACTCACCCAGAAATATTACATCACTACTTTATATATATATATATATATTTATATATATATATATATATATATATATATATATATATATATATATATATATATATATATATATATATATATATATATATATATATATATATTTATTTATTTTTTTATTTTTTTTTTTTCAAGATTAATATATTTCCGTAACCAATGAATAGAGTCCACGAAAAAAATGTTATGAGGAAAAAATACAAAAATAAATACGAGGCATTCTGGTGCCATTACTTGTCAACAGTGTTTAATGAAGAACTGGCCGACCGCCTGGCCGATTAGTTATACTGCCAGACTGGGAGTCACTAATACTAAGGGTAAATACTTAACTCTAATCTTAATTTCTAAGGGTCGCTGCCACCAGACCCCCTCTGGACAGCATGTAGCTCGTTAGGTAGCGTGCAGAGTGGACTAGGCATTGGGTTAGGTTTTCCATTGACCAGATCGATAAGGGGAAAGAAGGGTGAAACCATAACATGTCTTAATTAATTTATTCCTTATAAAGCATACTGGTAAAAAACATACAATTGAATGGGTCTTCCTCAGAAGAACAACGAAAATGTTGGTTACCCAGATGGGCACCAGACGTCTTACATTAATGGCGTGTCATCCACATACTTATTGCATAACAATCTGTGACCTCCTTACCTCGGTCATTCCTTCTTACACTATCCCTTAACACATCAGACTGCTCCACCTGTATGGAATATAGCACCGTCGGTTATCATACATAGTAGCACCATCTCAACACACATGTTACACTCCATACCTGCAGGTATGGGACTCCTTGTGACTTTTAGGTATACACAACAGGCACCTCGTTCGCACACCGCCCTCGGTGGGTAAAGACGCGGGCTTCACCAAGAGACATACCAGTACTATTTCTACGCCTGGTATTATAGGTCGCTCCAAGTGACGACAGCAGAGTTTCTCACGGTCTCCTTATTTGTGACTACTCATTTGGAGTGGTGTGCTGGAAATCCACAGGTTCACAGTGGATTTGCATAGCTGGGAGTAGTCACCACCTGTTGGGACGCTCATAAGGATAATGGCTGCCGGGCAGCAAGGCACTCCGACAGCATGGAACCTGAGGTGACGGTAGAACGGAGGGTACTGAGAAATAATGCCTGACGGCGGTTATCACACCCCCTAACACATTACTATTACACTTATATATCAGGCAAAGCTTTAAACTGTAATAACTTCTATATAAGCCTTAATTATAGGGCGGGATATAGCCCGATAGAACACTGACCTGAGGTGACGGTAGAACGGAGGGTACTGAGGGCAGTGCCCTGCCGCTCGTCACCACGTAGGCCTACAGTTTCCAATCTTTAATTTTTACTTTTATTTCTTACGGTTCTCACCTGAACACTCTTCGGTATATTGTCACTCATGCCGTATAAACACATATTTTAATACTAAATTACACACTAAGGTAAGGCCTTGGTTTGCTAGTTTGTGGGTAAATTCATTGGGTTATAATATCAACGAGGCACACCCGAGGCGGGTACATGACGCCCCTTAAAACAAAGGCTGAATGTTCATGGCGGGGGTGTATCAACTTCACTTAAAACTGTAATGAGGGATCCTCCTCTCACACATTGCACTATTTGAATACAGACATAAGATTCTCTGATCACTGTACCTGTCGTGGGTATATGTCACGTGAGGATACGAGGTGTATTAAGTTCATACCGACGCATACAAGATATTTCCTTTCAAGTATAGTTTCTGGCTCACTTCCAACACCTCACATAGTTCTGATACATTAATCCTTTTTCCAGATCATTGTTCTCATGTATTTTCATATG